AAAATATAAATCATAAAAAACACTTGTGATTACATGTAACTCTACTCTCCTATACTTAAAACTTAATATCAGAAATTGGAAATTCTGTTTGGTTGTCATTGGTTACAAAATACAAAATAAAAGCAATAACAAATATTCGTTTAATAATAGAAAATATTATTTATAATAAAAAAGAAGCATAAAATTATAAATATTAGAAGAAAATAATTATAAATAGTTGGAATTTGTTTTAAAAATAATTACTTATATAATTACCCCGTTATTCACAAACAAAATTTTTATTTTATAAACAGTTTATAAATTAGATTTTGTATGGAAATTTTATTTTATAAACCTTTTATAAAATAAAAATGTTGTTTGTGAATAAAGGGGTTAATATAAAGTTTCATTTTCTTTATATTAATGTTTAGTTATTTTAGTTATACTTATATTATGCTTTAATTTATTTAATACATTATATTATAAATAAATATATAATTTATTTTACATACTAAAATTGTTTTTGTTATAAAATTTAACTAAAAAATTGCTTTATACCCGCCTTTTTATCTAATTTTAATAAGAGAAAAATTACAATAATTTTCTCTTATACGAGAAAGGTAATGTTAATTGGGTAAGGGAAAAAGTAATTTCGTTTTAGGAGATTTTTTGGACGTTGCCAATCTATAAAACTTTTAGTCTATAGTGTAGTCTATAGTCTAGTTTATAGTATAGTCTACAGTACAGTTTATAGTCTAGTCTACAGTCTAGTTTATAGTCTAACATATAGTCTAGTCTATAATATAGTCTATAGTCTAGTCTATAGTCTAGTCTATAGTATAGTCTATAGTCTAGTCTATAGTCCAGTCTATAGTCTAGTCTATAGTCTAGTCTATAGTCTAATCTATAGTCTAGTCTATAGTCTAATCTATAGTCTAGTCTATAGTCTAGTCTATAGTCTAGTCTATAGTCTAGTCTATAGTCTAGTCTATAGTCTAGTCTATAGTCTAGTCTATAGTCTAGTCTATAGTCTAGTCTATAGTCTAGTCTATAGTCTAGTCTATAGTCTAGTCTATAGTCTAGTCTATAGTCTAGTCTATAGTCTAGTCTATAGTCTAGTCTATAGTCTAGTCTATAGTCTAGTCTATAGTCTAGTCTATAGTCTAGTCTATGGTCTAGCCTATAGCCTAGTCAATAGTATTGTCTATAGTCTAGTCTATGGTCTAGCCTATAGCCTAGTCTATAGTCTAGTCTATAGTCCAGTCTATAGTCTAGTCTATAGTCTAGTAGGGTGATCGATTATTCGACATTCTTCAAAACCCGGTTTTCGAATAGTTCGAATAGTTGACATTTCAAAAAAACCGGTTGATATTTTTCAAATTCAGAAAAATCCGGTTAACCGGTTTTTCATAATAAATAAAAAATATATGTTAATTTGAAGAAATTAATGTTTATGTTTCAATTTGATTAATAAAACATGGCCCGAAATGATTATTAACAGTTTAACAGATTATAACTTTAGATCTAGTGGTCTGACTTACATTATTTCTTTAATATAAAAAAAAAATTAGGAAAAAAGTGGACACTTCTGTTAAATATAAGGTACTGTGTAATCCTAGCTTATTCTAAAGCCCTTTTAGGAAATTTTCATAGGCATTCCAACACTTACATAATATTGCAGCGGTAAATTAATTATTGTAATTGGAACATAATCTTAAGATTAATAAAATTTTATTAAACAGTTATCAATTTTACAAATAAAATGTTTTAATTAGTTAGGAAAATCAAAAAAGTTTAACCAATGGTGCTTTAGAAAAATGTATCCTAGTTCCTGGACTCGAATATTTTTAAAATTTAAACGGGCTGTATTATTTACTTCAAAATTTCATTTAAATAATCTTTGAATACAAAACAATAAAAGTATTCGAAACCGGGTTTTAAAAAGTGAAAAAACCGGGTTATTCGATATTCGAAAAATCAACATTTAGAAAAAACCGATACTGGTAAAGCAGAAAAAAACCGGTTGAAAAATCGAGTCGATCACCCTATAGTCTAGTCTATAGTCTAGTCTATAGTCTAGTCTATAGTCTAGTCTATAGTCTAGTCTATAGTCTAGTCTATAGTCTAGTCTATAGTCTAGTCTATAGTCTAGTCTATAGTCTAGTCTATAGTCTAGTCTATAGTCTAGTCTATAGTCTAGTCTATAGTCTAGTCTATAGTCTAGTCTATAGTCTAGTCTATAGTCTAGTCTATAGTCTAGTCTATAGTCTAGTCTATAGTCTAGTCTATAGTCTAGTCTATAGTCTAGTCTATAGTCTAGTCTATAGTCTAGTCTATAGTCTAGTCTATAGTCTAGTCTATAGTCTAGTCTATAGTCTAGTCTATAGTCTAGTCTATAGTCTAGTCTATAGTCTAGTCTATAGTCTAGTCTACAGTCTAGTCTATAGTCTAGTCTATAGTCTAGTCTATAGTCTAGTCTATAGTCTAGTCTATAGTCTAGTCTATAGTCTAGTCTATAGTCTAGTCTATAGTCTAGTCTATAGTCTAGTCTATAGTCTAGTCTATAGTCTAGTCTATAGTCTAGTCTATAGTCTAGTCTATAGTCTAGTCTATAGTCTAGTCTATAGTCTAGTCTATAGTCTAGTCTATAGTCTAGTCTATAGTCTAGTCTATAGTCTAGTCTATAGTCTAGTCTATAGTCTAGTCTATAGTCTAGTCTATAGTCTAGTCTATAGTCTAGTCTATAGTCTAGTCTATAGTCTAGTCTATAGTCTAGTCTATAGTCTAGTCTATAGTCTAGTCTATAGTCTAGTCTATAGTCTAGTCTATAGTCTAGTCTATAGTCTAGTCTATAGTCTAGTCTATAGTCTAGTCTATAGTCTAGTCTATAGTCTAGTCTATAGTCTAGTCTATAGTCTAGTCTATAGTCTAGTCTATAGTCTAGTCTATAGTCTAGTCTATAGTCTAGTCTATAGTCTAGTCTATAGTCTAGTCTATAGTCTAGTCTATAGTCTAGTCTATAGTCTAGTCTATAGTCTAGTCTATAGTCTAGTCTATAGTCTAGTCTATAGTCTAGTCTATAGTCTAGTCTTAGTCTAGTCTATAGTCTAGTCTATAGTCTAGTCTATAGTCTATAGTCTAGTCTATAGTCTATAGTCTAGTCTATAGTCTAGTCTATAGTCTAGTCTATAGTCTAGTCTATAGTCTAGTCTATAGTCTAGTCTATAGTCTAGTCTATAGTCTAGTCTATAGTCTAGTCTATAGTCTAGTCTATAGTCTAGTCTATAGTCTAGTCTATAGTCTAGTCTATAGTCTAGTCTATAGTCTAGTCTATAGTCTAGTCTATAGTCTAGTCTATAGTCTAGTCTATAGTCTAGTCTATAGTCTAGTCTATAGTCTAGTCTATAGTCTAGTCTATAGTCTAGTCTATAGTCTAGTCTATAGTCTAGTCTATAGTCTAGTCTATAGTCTAGTCTATAGTCTAGTCTATATTCTAGTCTATAGTCTAGTCTATAGTCTAGTCTATAGTCTAGTCTATAGTCTAGTCTATAGTCTAGTCTATAGTCTAGTCTATAGTCTAGTCTATAGTCTAGTCTATAGTCTAGTCTAGTCTATAGTCTAGTCTAGTCTATAGTCTAGTCTATAGTCTAGTCTATAGTCTAGTCTATAGTCTAGTCTATAGTCTAGTCTATAGTCTAGTCTATAGTCTAGTCTAGTCTATAGTCTATAGTCTAGTCTATAGTCTAGTCTATAGTCTAGTCTATAGTCTAGTCTATAGTCTAGTCTATAGTCTAGTCTACAGTCTAGTCTATAGTCTAGTCTATAGTCTAGTCTATAGTCTAGTCTATAGTCTAGTCTATAGTCTAGTCTATAGTCTAGTCTATAGTCTAGTCTATAGTCTAGTCTATAGTCTAGTCTATAGTCTAGTCTATAGTCTAGTCTATAGTCTAGTCTATAGTCTAGTCTATAGTCCAGTCTATAGTCTAGTCTATAGTCTAGTCTATAGTCTAGTCTATAGTCTAGTCTATAGTCTAGTCTATAGTCTAGTTTATAGTCTAGTCTATAGTCTAGTCTATAGTCTAGTCTATAGTCTAGTCTATAGTCTAGTCTATAGTCTAGTCTATAGTCTAGTCTATAGTCTAGTCTATAGTCTAGTCTATAGTCTAGTCTATAGTCTAGTCTATAGTCTAGTCTATAGTCTAGTCTATAGTCTAGTCTATAGTCTAGTCTATAGTCTAGTCTATAGTCTAGTCTATAGTCTAGTCTATAGTCTAGTCTATAGTCTAGTCTATAGTCTAGTCTATAGTCTAGTCTATAGTCTAGTCTATAGTCTAGTCTATAGTCTAGTCTATAGTCTAGTCTATAGTCTAGTCTATAGTCTAGTCTATAGTCTAGTCTATAGTCTAGTCTATAGTCTAGTCTATAGTCTAGTCTATAGTCTAGTCTATAGTCTATAGTCTAGTCTAGTCTAGTCTAGTCTAGTCTATAGTCTAGTCTATAGTCTAGTCTATAGTCTAGTCTATAGTCTAGTCTATAGTCTAGTCTATAGTCTAGTCTATAGTCTAGTCTATAGTCTAGTCTATAGTCTAGTCTATAGTCTAGTCTATAGTCTAGTCTATAGTCTAGTCTATAGTCTAGTCTATAGTCTAGTCTATAGTCTAGTCTATAGTCTAGTCTATAGTCTAGTCTATAGTCTAGTCTATAGTCTAGTCTATAGTCTAGTCTATAGTCTAGTCTATAGTCTAGTCTATAGTCTAGACTATAGTCTACTCTATATTCTAGTCAATAATCTAGTCTATAGTCTAGTCTATAGTCTAGTCTTTAGTCTGGTCTATGGTTTAGTCTATAGTCTAGTCAATAGTCTAGTCTATAGTCTAGTCTATAGTCTAGTCTATAGTCTAGTCTATAGTCTAGTCTATAGTCTAGTCTATAGTCTGGTCTATAGTCTAGTCTATAGTCTAGTCTATAGTCTAATCTATAGTCTTAGTCTATAGCAATTTAGAAAAAACGACGTCTTGGCTTTTTGTATAATGTCTTCAATATGTATTACCATGGTGGAAAATACTGTTTTCTTACTTTAGGAAAGTAGCCTTTAGACCCCGGGATTTAACTTTTGGGGAAATTCTACATATATTTCGGTTAAAATGGGCATTCCAAGAGTAGTGCCACGCCACGTAGTAATTTAGTAAATTACTAAGCTAAAGCTAAACTCAATAATATTAAAAATGAGTGTTTGAATAGTAGTGGCCGTGGCACAGCATACTACTGCTATTCAAATACCAATCAGGAAACTACTTTTTCCCTTAACCCAACACAACATTACAATAATTTAACACAACATATTTTCTTTGGCTTTGGATTTTTTACAACTCTTCTTTAGTTAATTTATTCACACGAAAAGCTTCTAAGATATTTAACTTAATATTTAATTCAGCCTTTTTAGCCTGTGATACTTTACCGGCTCTTAAACGTAACAAACGTTTTGTTTCGTCCTCCACAAATTTATAACCATTTTTGATGATTTTCTCCATAAAAGTAATATAGGTTTTAGCACTTGCCATTTCCCAATCTTTGGTAAAATTGTTTGCCAATTTTTTACCTTCAGCCAAACGTTCCTGTTGTTGCGGGTCTTCCAAGTTGGCAAAGTTCTTAGCTAAATCATTTAATTGCTTAAGACAGCCTTCGCGACCAATATACAAATCAGTATTGGAACTGACAAAAGTCTTTAGACTATCCACACTAATATCCAAGTGAGAGGGTAAAGGTAAAGGCTTATCCTCACCCTTACGAAATAGAAATATTGCGGGGTAATTTTTCTCATCTACTTCAAAACGCTCAGCCAATGCTTTGTTCTCATTTTCACCATAATCCTTGACGCCCACGGTAGCAATTAAGAGGTCATCGGTGGCAGCATGAGCTGCTTTGGCAAAGGCTGCAAATGCTTCATGTTTGTCACCATACGGATAGGCTATATCAAATTTAACCAAAGCATAGGGAAAACGTTTAATGGTTTTCTCAAATGTTATATCATCTAAGTCCACACAACCCGGACAATTATTGGCCCATGTAACACAGCTCAAGAAGGCCAAATTGATAAATGCCAATAAAATAGATTTTGGTAATACTTTGGTCATGATTTTTAGCACTTTTTTTTAGTAATATTTTTTTCTTTTTAATATTTACAGCAAACACCAGCACTTTTAAGTACTCTACTATCAACCGGCAATATGAAAACTAAAGTATGGCTAAAAGAAGTTAAAATATAAAATACAGAAAAAAAGTCATATTTCAAACATATTTGAAGTTGTAGCTTAATGGCCAACATGCAAACACTCAGAGTCAGCATTTATTTTACCACTTATAATAATAATGACACATACACAGACAGATACAAACGTACACATATTCACATTGTGGAAAATTAATGCTGACTGGTACTCTTTTGGAGCACCCTACGTGGTTGGTATTATGAGTTTTTATTGATGTTTGTAACACATTATAATATACTGGTTAATAAACAATAATCTTAGCTAATATATAGACTAGTCTCTAGGTCCACAGACTAGTCGATAGTCTCGTCAATAGACTAGTCAATAGTCTAGTCCATAGTCTAGTCAATAGTTTAGTCCATATACAACTCTATAGTCTACTACACAGTCTAGTCCAAGACTAGTTAATAAACTAGTCTATTGACTAAATAGTCCCTACTTAGACTAGTCGATAGTCTACTCAGTTTACTAGTCTATAGACAAGTTCATAGACTAATCCATAGTCTACTCCATTGACTAGTCTATCGACTAGCCCATGCACTAGTCGTTAATCTGTTCCATACAATAGCCTATGTGCTAGTCCATATACATACTAGTCCTGAGAATAATCCATAGACTAGTCGATAGACTAACCCAAAGACCATTCTTTAAGCTAGTCAATAGACCAGTCGATAGTCTAGTCCATAATCTAGTTCATAGAATTGTCTATAGACTAGTCCATTGAACAGTCAACGGATTAGTCCATAGACCAGTCAATTGACTAGTCTATAGACTAATCAATAGATTATTCTATAGACCATAGTCTAGTCTATAGACTAGTCGCTAAACCTGTTGATAAACTAGAGTAGTATATATAGTAATCAGTAGTCTAATACATGGGCTAGTCAATGCACTAGTCCATGGAGTAGTTCATAAACTAGTCTATGGACTAGTCCATATACTATTCTCAAGATTATTCCATAGACTATTCCATAAACTTGTCAGTAGACCAATCTATGGTCTAATCCATAGTCTAGTTCATAGACTAGTCCACAGACTAATCCATAGACAGGTCCATAGAATAGTGAAAGGGCCAGTCCATATACTAGTCTAAATATTATTCCATAGACTATTCAATAAACTATAAACTAGTCCATAGACTAGTCATAGACCAGTCGATTGTCTTATCCATAAACTAGTCTATAGACCAAACATAGGCTAATTCATAGACATAGACTAGTTCATAGACTAATCCATGGACCATTCCATATACTAATCAAAAGATTATTTCATATACTATTCGAAAAACTAGCCAGTAGAACAATCTATGGTCTAATCCATAGTCTACTTCATAGACTAGTCCACAGACTAATTCATAGATAAGTCCGCAGAATACTGAATAGACTAGTACATAGTTGAGTCCATAGACTACTACATAGTATAGTCCATATACTAGTGCATAGTCCAGTCCATAGTCTAGTCGATAATCTATTCCCTAGACTAGACAATAAACTAGTTTATAGACTACTCAATAAACCAGTCGATATTCTAAACCATAGACTAGTCTAGATAAACCATATACTAGTCCATAGTAAGTCCATAGTCTAGTTCATAGCCTAGTTAATAACCTATTATATAGTCTAGTGCATTAAATAGTTAATAGACTAGTTCAAAAATCTGACAATAGACTCGTTCACAGGCTATTCAATAGAATCGTTTATAAACTATTTCAGATACTAGTTACAGATTAGATAAGTCAATATAGTCCATAGACTAGTTACTAAACCTATTAAAAGAGTAGTCAAACTACTAGTTCACAGACTTGGTCATAGTCTACTCAATAATCTTTATATTAACCCAACAGTTTACGATTCCTGTCAGCTGTATGGTTCCATACAGTCGGCTTCTATCCACTATACCTTCATAAGTCTTCTCTTCTGTTGTTTTCTGTAACAAAACAACAACTTCATCACAACCAGTTTTAAATGTCAATTTCTTATTCAAGCCATTGAAATTTCAATGGTTTTTGTAAAATCTAGTGTTAACAGAGAAAATTTATATGTGTATGTTTGAGCCAGGTTTAAAACGCTCTTTCGCTCTCCTTCTCTGTCTTTTGTATCTCTGTTATATGAATCGAGTTTAATGACGTTTATTTGTTTTGGAATCATATGTATGGACCACGTCAGTAGTGTTGGCTATAGTTGTGAGTATTTGGTTGGGAAAAACAAGAAACGTTCTCAATTTTGTTCTCTATTACAAATGCTGTTATGTAGTTTCTAGATTAATCGCTTTTTTTAAAGTTTGTTGTTTCAGCTGTAGTTTGAAGATACTTTTGGTTGATGATATATGGTAAAGCATTTATTTATACATTTGGTGTGTTTTTAATTGTTTAGATTTTAGATTTAGCAATTTTTAAATATTATAATAACGATTTATAGTAGAGTATGTGTAAATGATTTTATACTTTCACCTTCAGGTTCAATAGATTAAATATATTGAATTGAAGTTAAAACTTAAATTCTCTGATTTTAAAATTGTATAGCCATTGAAATGTCGGCCGTTGACCCATAAAAGTTCTGTTTGTTGTTTTGCTTTGTTGTAGTTACTAGAATAAAATATCTTTGTATAAATATATAAATATACATACATATATCAAAATCCACGATTTTCTGACATAGTTGACATCCAGTTGGTATTTATCTCAAAATATCATTGGATCCCATATACTGTAAGAATGACTTTCGATGAAAGACGTGCATTGCGAAAAATTTTGGGTACTGAGAACAAGTTTCCTTGTTCTCATCGGTGACCCCACTGTCACCGATAAATACCTTCGACCTCCCCTCTACGCGGCCTGGTAGCTCTAATATATACTTAGGATTTCTCGGCCCATATATGAAAGTTGTTATCCATTTTCGATCGGATATAACTGATGTAAATAATAAGGAGATCAGATGGACTGACCCGTTTTAAATAACCCATTATGACGTCAAGAGTGTCGATCGTTAGCTAGACTATAGACTAAACTATAGACTAGACTATAGGCTAGACTATAGACTATACTATAGACTAGACTATAGACTGAACTATAGACTGGACTATAGCCTGGAATATAGACTGGACTATAGACTGGACTATAGACTAGACTATAGACTAGACTATAGACTATACTATAGACTAGACTATAGACCAGACTATAGACTAGACTATAGACTAGACTATAGACTAGACTATAGACTAGACTATAGACTAGACTATAGACTAGACTATAGACTAGACTATAGACTAGACTATAGACTAGACTATAGACTAGACTATAGACTAGACTATAGACTAGACTATAGACTAGACTATAGACTAGACTATAGACTAGACTATAGACTAGACTATAGACTAGACTATAGACTAGACTATAGACTAGACTATAGACTAGACTATAGACTAGACTATAGACTAGACTATAGACTAGACTATAGACTAGACTATAGACTAGACTATAGACTAGACTATAGACTAGACTATAGACTAGACTATAGACTAGACTATAGACTAGACTATAGACTAGACTATAGACTAGACTATAGACTAGACTATAGACTAGACTATAGACTAGACTATAGACTAGACTATAGACTAGACTATAGACTAGACTATAGACTAGACTATAGACTAGACTATAGACTAGACTATAGACTAGACTATAGACTAGACTATAGACTAGACTATAGACTAGACTATAGACTAGACTATAGACTAGACTATAGACTAGACTATAGACTAGACTATAGACTAGACTATAGACTAGACTATAGACTAGACTATAGACTAGACTATAGACTAGACTATAGACTAGACTATAGACTAGACTATAGACTAGACTATAGACTAGACTATAGACTAGACTATAGACTAGACTATAGACTAGACTATAGACTAGACTATAGACTAGACTATAGACTAGACTATAGACTAGACTAATAGACTAGACTATAAGACTAGACTATAGCTAGCCTATAGACTAGACTATATACGAGACTATAGACTAGACTATAGACTAAGATCTATAGGCTAGACTATAGGCTAGACTTTACTAGACTATAGACTAGACTATAGACTAACTATAGACTAGACTATAGACTAACTATAGACTAGCTATAGAACTAGACTATAGACTAGACTATAGACTAGACTATAGACTAGACTATAAGACAGACTAAGACTAGACTATAGACTAGACTAGAGACTAGACATAGACTAGACTATAGAAATAACTATGACTAGTACTATAGACTAGACTCTAGACTAGACTATAGACTAGACTATAACTAGACTATAGACTAGACTATAGACTAGACTATAGCTAGACTATACGACTATACTATGACTAGACTATAGACCTAGACCATAGACTATAGACTAGACTATAGACTAGACTATAGACTAGACTATAGACTAGACTATAGACTAGACTATAGACTAGACTATAGACTACTCTATAGACTAGACTATAGACTAGACTATAGACCAGACTATAGACTAGACGATAGACTAGACTATAGACTAGACTATAGACTAGACTATACTAGACTATAGACTAGACTATAGACTAGACTATAGACTAGACTATAGACTACTATAGACTAGACTATAGACTAGACTATAGACTAGACTATAGACTAGACTATAGACTAGACCATAGACTACTCTATAGACTAGACTATAGACTAGACTATAGACTAGACTATAGACTAGACTATAGACTAGACCATAGACTACTCTATAGACTAGACTATAGACTAGACTATAGACTAGACTATAGACTAGACTATAGACTAGACTATAGACTAGACTATAGACTAGACTATAGACTAGACTATAGACTAGACTATAGACTAGACTATAGACTAGACTATAGACTAGACTATAGACTAGACTATAGACTAGACTATAGACTAGACTATAGACTAGACTATAGACTAGACTAT